TGTGGTTTGTTTTTTTCCCATCGGTTTAGATCCCTAACATTGTAGCCGTTATAAAAAAGTTAGTTAGGGTAATAGACATTTTGGTCTTTTTACATTTTTTCTCAAATCCGTTAGAAAATTTAAAAATCATTTGAAGACATCCATTTAAAACCATCCATGCCCCTCTGCTCTTTTCCTCCCTTCCCTCACAACCATCCCTTTTAAGGTTCAACTTTCGACAATTTCTCTGTTAATAAATTTATCGAAGATGGTTAATGGCATTAGGATATGGAAAACATTTCAACTGTGGTTTGGTCGATTACAGAGAGCCGGGGCAGAGTAGGTTGCGAGTGGCAGAGTGGGGAGGTTGAAAGTGGAGCAATAGAGGGTAGAGGGACGGTGAAACTGAGGAGAAGGCAATGGTGGTAGTGATAGAGGCAATAGCTTTGGTTGTTTATGATTGGTAGTATCAAGTATATGCTTGAGAAAAAGTGGAGGGATGAAAATGGAGGCGCCTAGTATGAAAAGAGTGGCGATGTTTCTGTTAGCATGAAGATGGCGGTGGTGACGGTGTTAAGAGGGATACACCAGTGTCTATTAACATGGTGATGGAAACCGTCATTGTGGTTAGTAGACCGCTGGAAATGGAGGCCGTCAATATGGTTTGTGGATCGTCGGAGAAACGAGAAGACGATGGAAAGGGAAGAGACGTGGACCACCATCTGTCGTCCATGTGTTGAGGCCATCATTGTATTTTCTGAATATAGATATAATACATTAATATATGATATATAAAATACAATATATAATATTATTTTTTTCATAGAAAACGAGGCTACTATATAAAACGACTAAAGTGTCTTCCACCCTAAACAGACGCCTTTAATGGCTTTAATGTTATGTACCCAAATTGTTGAATAAAGTACCACATGGATCTGTTTTGTTAAAACTTTACTTTTAGGGACCAAAGCTATTAAAATCACAAAAGGATGGAGACAAGAACCGTAATTCATTTATTGTTATAATTTTCATAAAATTCTCAACACTCGAACCAAAAAGTACATGTTGGTTTTGAAGGTATATTCCAAATAGAATCTGGAGCACACTACATTTTCATTCCTGTGTTTTTTTTTAAATTGTAATTTTGTTCATATACTTTTAGAATTATGTTTTTGACCCTTAGAGACGAAAACGAGGCGGGTATTGACGGGTAATGCATCTTCCGTCCCTAACCATGACCCTCGTTTAATCCCCCATCGATCCCTGACCCCGCCTCAATTAATCCCCGACGGGTTAGGGGGACCTGTTGGGTACCCATTTAGTAAAAAAATATATTTTAAAATTAAAATTATAATGAATCTTAACTACATTAAAGTATAAATGTATACACATATATTTATTTATACACACACTATATATGTATATTAAATAAAATAAAAAAATCAATTGGGGTCGGATTTGGAGAGGGTAATGCCATCCCGACATAGACGGACCTACTAAGGGGCTATGGGTGGCACGTGCCACCGTATCGTTTCTCCGTCGAAGGGTAAAAAATTTAGGTTTCTTGAATGGTGCAACTGTATTAATTTGTTGTGTGTCACCGTATGCATTTTGAAACTATAATGAGAACAAGTTTTATTTGGTAAAATGGGTTTGCAAGACTTTTATTCCACCCCACACCCAAGTCCGAATCATATTAGTGTCATTTTCTTAGTCAAATGGTGCCACCGTTTGAATTTTTTTTCCGTATATTTGTTTCTTATAGTCAAACAGTGTCACCGTTTAAAAAAAAATTCCTATATTTTTTTTTCTTATGGTCAAATGGTGCCACCGTATAAAATTTTTTTTGGGTCCGTCCCTGCATCCCGACCCAACCCCGCTTCGGGTATGAAAATAAGTCTCTGTCCCCGCCCCATTACCCGTCAAACCAGGGAATCCCTGCCCCGTTAGGGTTGGGTACGCAGGGGTACCCATTCCAACGGGTAAAATTTCCATATTTACTAAGATAATTATCGTTATTTATTATATAAAAATTAATGCATTTTTTAAGAAATTTCATCTTTTATCTCTCTCTCCTCTTCTCTCTTCTATCTTTGTTGTGCACCTTATGTAAATAACCTTAATGAATTTACTACTACGATGTTCACAAGTGGTATGTCTAGATTTAGTTTATGCTTACAATTTGTTCACAAGTTATATTGATTTTATAAATTTAGAGTGTTCATAATGTATTCATAAATTATAATATCGTTTTTAAGAAAAAATGTCTACAATATGTTTACCTTTGATTTATATTCAATTATATGTGTAATGTGTACTTTATAGAGAAAGGAGAGACAAAATAAGAGAGAGAGGAGGGAAAAGAGATAAAGAGAAAAAAATAGGGGAGAGGAGAAAATGGGTTATGTTTTTAATTTATGTTAAAAATTTCAACTAATTTTTTTGTAGTTTAAACTAGTATCATGAATTTCGTAATTAACAAGTTGTTATATAATTTGAGTAGAAATTGTAGTGAGGGGTGGGGGCCTAGCTTCTGAGCAAAACATCACCTGTAACGCTTCACTTTGCCTTTTGTGATGGCAAAACGCATTTGCAATGCTTTGTCTTTTTCGTCCTTTGGTACTCAATCATAATACATATTGAATATCTACCTTCCGACTTTATATGCAACAGTTGTTTCCAGATAATATTGAAATAAATTAATTTTATTTCTAAAGTCAAATATGTGATTTCGTTTATCAGATAAATTTGATACAAACAAATTTTATTTCTAAAGTCAAATGTGTGTCATGCTTAATCCTCTTTTTGTGTAAATACAAGGTGCAAATAAATTAGGAAAGAAAATTGGTCATGAGTAAGTGTATTCGTACATGTACAAAAACATTTTTCTTTACTATATTATGTGCATTATAAATCTACTATTATCATCATCATTATTTATAATTAGTTACGCATTACTTATTAAAGAGGTCTTCTTCTATCCTTATTCGTCTTTTTAAGTTAATTTACTCATGAAATTTGTACATAACATGCATAATGATTGTTATTTACGGTTTTAATTTATATGTATTTGTTACGGTTTTAATTTATATGTATTTGTTACGATTTTAAATATATAACAATCTTAATATTTAAAATAGTTCGAACTTGAAAAGAAAGTAAAATGAAGTTTGAAAATTTCAGCGCTAGCCAAATAAAATCTCTGCTAAAGAGAGGGATGAAGATGGGAGGTCAGTAGGTGTAGCATTTCAACTTGGGGTATAACCACCTTGGGTTGAGTGGACGGATAGTGGGAGGGGTCCCCTCCCCATGTTTAGATCTGCATATCTGCTATCTCTAAGGAGCGTTTCCTTGTCTTCATTCTTCTTTTTCTTGAACAAATATAGGCTTTAATTAAATCAGCTTTTAATGTTATGGTTATCTTGGTTTTATGAGTGCAGCACACATTATATATAACATATAAGATACTGTAAAATGTTTACATCAAATTTAATTTGTCTTCAAAATATTATTTCATATAGGCAACGAAATTTTATTATCAAATAAATATGAAGACTTTGTTATTTGCAAGTTTAACTTTTTTATAGAAGTGTTCTGAAAAAAAATATATATAAAGCAACACAACCTTAAATGTCATGTAATCAAATCTAGTAAGTATATGATGCAATATGGAATAGAGCAAGATAAAATACTGTAGGAGTCCTTTTGGTTCTGTTTTTATCATTTAAACCCCTAATCGCTTCTGTAATTTTATCAAACCTTTATTTGGTGTTGGGCTGTTGGCTAAAGTGGCTGGAGCTTCCTGTAGTTTGTATAGTACAGGCTACAATGCTTTTAACATGCATTTGTAGGATTAACTCTCAACAACTAATGTTAAACTATTTAAAAGATATCCTAGAAAGAATTTATGATAACTCAAAAGTATAAGTTGTTTGTTTTAGCAGTGTCAAAGCTTTATACTTTTTAGAAGTTCATAAATTCAACACTCATCAAAGGTCATGATGGTGGTTGAGTTTATATATTATATTTGTCGTATATAAATATTTTATACTTAAATAAAAGAGTATAATTTTCTTTTTGAATTTTCGTATTTTCTTATTGTGTTTCTTTAAATATATACGTTACTTTATAGTGTCATGACAATAAAGAAAACAAGTTATAACAATGACAAAAAATAAGAATATAGAAAAAACTTTCAAAGCAAATTAGCTGTCGAGATGAGTCATGCTATGAATCTAAACATGTAAGCATCTTGACCTTCAAAGTCGAGATGAGTCATGCTATGAATCTAAACATGTAAGCATCTTGACCTTCAAAATTAAACAGGCTAAGACAAATTAAAATGACATCAACAAATATAGAAAATGAAGAAAAATCAAGTGAAAAAATAAAACTTCAATTGTTATGTTAAGAAAATACACTCAATGTTGTGTATTTATACTATGTATTTTCATTTTTAGGCATACCTAAAAATTTATATTTGAATTTTCATTTACCGGTTCTTTCTTGAGATGCAAAATTCATATAATCATCAAGAAAAGCTGTTGGTTGGAATCAATATCTTTTTGGATATAGGGAGTAGGAAGTTCCCCAACATGCTACCCAGGCACATACAAATTAGAAGGGTCAAAAGGGTAATATCCCAGATCGCATTTATTCTTCTCTTCTACAAATTCCTAATTTTTTTTGCCAACTTGTTTTGTCTTATACGGGTAAATCTTGATCACCCCCTTCTTTTTAAATGAAAGTAAATGTTTTTGTTCAGCTTTTGCTGTTTGCCATCTCTGCATGTTTGCATGTCTTTTTCTGTGTTTGCCCAAACAATTCCAGAGAATAACAGTGACTGTGACGAACTATGCATACACACACATATACATCTTATCACTAGAGATTTTCATATGTAAATCAATCTCTTTTTCTCTTTCCTTTTTGGACTCTGTTTCTTGGGGTTTCCATCCTTAGCGTTTCTTAACCCACTATATTCTCGAAAGTACACGTGAAATCCGCCGTTCCATCACCTTCTAAACGCTTATCTCTGAATTCTTTTTTGTTTTTATGTTAATCACCTTTGTGTTCACCCTGCACCCCTTAGTGAAAGGGGTGAGACTTGAAATGGAGAAGCCTCAATATATGTTCTAACAAACAGTCTTTAGTTTTTCTTTGTCTTGATTTATTGTTCAAATCTGTTGTCTGAACAAATTCAGGTGAAGAATCATGCCTCAGTTGAAGCAGATTAGAGACCCTGAGCAAAAGCATGTGATCTCCAAGAGAATTACAAGGGGAGGATCAACGAATAATCAAAAGGACTTTAGTGTTGAAGAAACAACAGATAAGAGTGTGGGAAAGCGGAGGCAGGGGAGGAGAAAAGGGAAAGGAAATTTTTTGGAGAGGACACCATTAATGTTAGAGGATTCAAAAGAAGAGATTTTATGTGGGTTATCTTCGTCTTCCGAGAAAAGGCTCATGTTCCCTCGCAGGCCTGGTTATGGTCAACTGGGTACCAAATGTGTGGTAAAAGCAAACCACTTTCTAGCTGAGTTGGCTGATATGGAGTTAACCCAATACAGTGTAAGTTTTCAATATTTTTTGGATTAGAAAAACTGAAAAATTAGTTCACAGATACTTGTCTGACCTACGTCAATTTTTTGGATTAGAAAAACTGAAAAATTAGTTCACAGGTATATATATATATATATATATATATGTATATACACACATATATATATACATTTTGTTTTTGTAATTTGAAGTATTTTCTTATCGGAGCAGGTTAAGGTGATTCCGGAAGTGAACTCCACCAAATTGAACAAGGCAATTATGACTCAGTTAGTGAAAGTTCATAGAAACACAGATTTGGGGATGAAGCTCCCTGTTTATGATGGAAGAAGAGCGCTTTATACAGCTGGGAGACTTCCCTTTACATCAAAAGGATTCACAGTTACATTAGTAGACGACTTGGACTGGATTGGTATTACAAAGTATGTGATTCCTTGATCACCAAATTTCTGTTGCCTTTTGCCCTACATGTGCTCATGCCCGATCTTTGAACCCCTTTCAACATAAAATGTACCGGAAGCCATAAAAATAGTTGAATATGCTCATATTTGCGCGTTTTCCATCAGTTGCTCTCTCTATGATTATGAGGTTTCCTATGTAAAATAGGAGTCTTTGACTACTAAATTCTATCATGGTCAAAGGATTACACATAGGGAAGGAAACTATTTATAATTGTGTGATTTAATTAAAATATATTGCAATACTTCACGGAGAGGAGATCCCAGTGACCACTGTGTTCATTGCTCATGTTTGATTTTTGAATATCCTTTTCAGTGTTTCCTGTAATAAATTCTGAAAAAGCTAAAAAGTATTGGAATCTTAACGGTAGTTTACAAATGTTTACGGGGTAAGGCTTATTGACGAGAGTCACCACCCTCACCTTATCTGGTAATATTTCTAGACCATCAAAATGAATTGGTAGGTGTCTCAACCGGTTAAAAGTTTTTTCACTCACCCGGTAAGCACTAACCGGGTAAGAGTGTTTTCACTCACTTTAACAGGTTAGATTCTGAGTTCTTGCTATGTCTCTTACCGGGTAAGCTTCTAGATCATTACCATGCTCTCCCGGTGAGGTAAGTAACACGTGGTGAACGTTAACCAATTATCCCCTTACCATGCTTGCCAGGTTAGATTCTGAGTTCTTATATGTTTCTTTTTACGTCAGTAGCTTATGAATCTATTGGTATTTGGTCTCTGGACGAGGTTCCCTATGGTATATGAGAGTCTTTGACCACTAAATTGTTATGACAGTCAAAAGATCAGATAGAGGACATTGTGATATTTATTTAAATTTATGTTGCACAATTTCAGGGAAAGGCAATTTAAAGTGACTATTGAGTTTGCTGCTCATGCTAGTATGTGTCAATTGCACGAGCTTCTCTCTGGAAAACAAGTTGACACTCCTCTAGAGGCCCTTAAGATAGTTGATCTAGTCTTGAAGGAGCTTACAGCTCAACGGTATGTTTTTACGTGATTTATCTTGTCTGAATTCTCCTCCATTTACGTTATTGCCTTATACAACTTAATGTGTAAATAGGTATATATCTGTTGGGAGATTTTTCTATTCTCCAAACATTACCAATCCGAAGCCAATAGGTTGCGGACTACAATCATGGCGAGGCTTCTACCAGAGTATAAAACCCACCCAGATGGGATTATCACTAAATATTGGTATGATATTAAGCTTTTGATCTAGAGCAATTCTTTTTTCATCCTGCTATTCTCATTACACCATTATATTTTGCCTATTCCTTTCCACAGACACATTGGCAACAACATTTATAGAACCACTCCCCGTCATCGAATTTGTAGCTGAAATTTTGGGAAAACAAGTGTATACAAAGCAAATTTCTGATGCAGATAGAATAAAGGTATAGTTGTGAATATCAGACATAAGGTTCTAAATCATCTTTCTGTTTGATTTTGGTTCTTTGAAGGTTTGACATGCTGGGGGTTACCTGTATGGGCTAAATCATGTATAAATGTGGACGTGTGTATGATATAGTATCACCATAGCATACAGAAACATAAATAAGCATATACCATTTCTTTTTAATAAGATTGAAAGCTATATAAATCAGTAATATATAGCAAATAGTTATGTCACTGAGCAGATAAAAAAAGCTCTTAGAGGTGTCAAAGTTGAAGTTACACACAGAGGAAATGTGCGAAGGAAATATCGCATCTCAGGGGTGACATCACAACCAACAAGGGAGCTAATGTGAGTTGCTTGAATTTCTCCATAGCTCCGTTTCCTGCAGGCCCGTTATCAATCCCTTTCCTCATTTTGATATCCATCCTGTTTTGTCTTCTCCCAGGTTTCCGGTTGATGAGGAAAGGAACATGAAATCAGTGGTTGACTATTTCCGTGAGGTGTATGGATTTACGATACAGCATGCCCACCTGCCTTGCCTTCAAGTGGGAAATCAGAAAAAAGTGAATTACATGCCCATGGAGGTATTTCTCCCAACTTGATCTGTATTCGACATGTGTGGTTTATCATTCTTTGGTGTCTTTGCACATTATATAGGCTTGCAAGATTGTTGAGGGACAAAGGCGCACAAAGGGACTGAACAATAAGCAGATTACTTCTTTGCTAAAATTTTCATGCCAGAGGCCCAAGGAACAGGAAAAGGAAATACTACAGGTTTGAGCACTCAGAGATCTCCCCCTTTTAGTTCAATCACTGGTTTTTTTCTTAAGAGCTTATTCCTGTATCCTAAAATGGGAGTAAATTGGTATTTGTTCAGACAATGCACCAAAGTAGCTTTAAAGAAGATCCCTATGCAAAGGAATTTGGCATCAGTATTGATGACAGACTTACATCAGTTGATGCCCGAGTTCTTCCTGCCCCATGGGTACGTCTTGTTTACTATTCTTGGTTCAGAATTTGATGAAGTCTCTTGCTGGGTTCACCTTTGATCTTATAATCAACAGTTGAAGTACCATGATAGTGGAAAACAGAAAGAAGTTTTACCTCAACTTGGCCAATGGAACATGAAAGATAAGGTAATGCACTGCCTTTATTAGCTGTCGTCTTGGCAATTGTATGCAATTGCTCATGATACTCTACTATTTTCATGACACAGAAAGTGATAAACGGAAGCGTTGTTAACTACTGGGCTTGTATCAACTTCTCACGAACTGTCCCAGATAGCGCAGCTCAAAGTTTTTGTCATCAGTTGGTCCAAATGTGCCAAGAATCTGGCATGGTTAGAATAACTAAACCGTTAGCTTTCATAGATTAATTGTTTGCTGAAACATTCAAAAGATAATTTTGTATAATATATCGTTGGAGATTTCAGGAATTCAAATGTGATAGCGTTGTTCCAGTATACTCAGCAAGACCAGATCAGGTAAAGAAGGCTCTGAAGCATGTCTATACGACCACTGTAAATAAATGCGGAGGAAAAGAGCTGGAATTGCTTATTGCAATCCTCCCTGACAACAATGGCAGTTTGTATGGTATGTAGCTTTCATTTGCTTATTTCCGAACATGGTTTTGCTTGCAGCGCTAAGTTGCTCCAATTTCAGGGGATGTGAAAAGGATATGTGAAACGGATCTGGGGTTAATTTCACAATGCTGTCTTACGAAATATGTTCTAAAGATCAGCAAACAGTATCTGTCAAACGTCTCGCTCAAAATTAATGTCAAGGTAAGACATTTTATGAAAAACTCGTGAACAATATTCTATTATTCATTTTGGTTTTCTTACAACATTCTTTCGTTGTACTTTTACATCATTGTCCTACCCCAGATGGGAGGAAGGAATACTGTGCTATTGGATGCCTTAAGATGGAAGGTCCCTCTGGTTAGTGATATCCCAACAATAATTTTTGGAGCCGATGTAACTCATCCAGAGTCTGGAGAGGATAGTAATCCATCAATTGCCGCGGTAACAACAACAAAACCTTGACATACAGTTTATTTGCTTTACATTTGAGCTTGTATACTTACGTCTGTTTTTAATTAAAAAAGGTTGTTGCCTCGCAAGACTGGCCAGAAGTTACAAAGTATGCCGGGCTTGTGAGTGCTCAACCTCACAGGCAAGAACTTATTCAGGACTTGTATAAAACTTGGCAAGATCCCCAACGTGGAAAAGTTAACGGAGGCATGATCAGGTGCATATGCGAACGTCATGTGATAAAAAACAAGGTTGTTTTTTATGAGCTAGCCTTAATGGATTAGTTGGTCTAATAACTTGAGCGGTAAAACTGCAGAGAGCTTTTGCTATCTTTTGAGAAGGCAACAGGGAAAAAACCACTGAGGATCATTTTCTATAGGTACATGAAGACCATTTATATAGGTTTGAGTGGTGGATCGCCAAAAAATAGATCGGTAGGTATACTCACTTTTTTTGGTATATTCCTATTTGCAGGGATGGTGTAAGTGATGGGCAGTTCTATCAGGTCCTACTCTATGAACTTGATGCAATTCGTAAGGTTGGTTGATTCTTTAAACACGGTATCTGTTGCTTCAAACCATTTGTTTTCTGGTGCTTATTAATTATATATACCGTTCGACATCTCTAGGCCTGTGCTTCTCTAGAACCTAATTACCAGCCTCCAGTGACATTCATCGTTGTCCAAAAACGCCATCACACACGGCTCTTTCCAAGCAACCACAATGATAGAAAAAGCACCGACAAGAGTGGCAACATATTACCCGGTATATTTTTCTTTATCGTTCTTCACTTTCTGTTGCAAAACAAGCAGTTGTCCTTGTGAAAATGCTAGGAAACACTGAACTTTGCATGAATAAACAATTTTGCACAAAAGTGCCAAGTATGATTCCATAAGTCATTTAAATTAGCTACTTCTAGAAAACTACAAGGTTCTTTATGCATTAGCACAAAGATGGTTTGCAATAAAAAAGCCAGGTACATTGTTAAAAAATTTACTCTTTTCTTAAGCATTCAACTACAAACTAAAATGTTACTTGTTTACATCATTTTCCATTTTGTGGTTCTCATCTCGTTTCTCTCGCACCATATCACATTTGACAAAATAAAAATGTAGTTAAATGAAAAGAACCCTAGACTTCGTTACGAACTTGTTCCGTTAGGCTGAAAATGTTGGATTTGGTAAACTGTAGGTACGGTGGTGGACACAAAGATTTGTCATCCAGTTGAGTTTGACTTCTATCTTTGCAGTCATGCTGGAATTCAAGTATGAAACTACGCCATCTCATTCAATTCGAACACCAGATGGAACTTGTTATCTTCTGTTGATTTTACAATGTCAAATCTGTTATATATATCTTTCAGGGAACTAGCAGGCCGGCTCATTATCATGTTCTATGGGATGAGAACAGTTTCACGGCTGATGAAATTCAGTCTCTAACGAATAATCTCTGCTACACGTAAGACACTTGCTTCAGACTCTTGTTAATCACTCATGTCTCCTTGTGATGATATATTAACCAAGATACTTTTGTTGCAGCTATGCTAGGTGCACACGATCCGTTTCTGTCGGTAAACCTTTTACTTTTACCATCAAGTTTTGTGTTATTCCCTTATTTTTTGGAACAAAAGATAAATTAAGAAAAGTCACTTAGCAATGATCAGAGAAACACAAAATAAATAGGACTGTACAATGGTCCTGAACCAGATCAAACCAAAACTGGACTTGTAAGAATGTAGAACAGAAACAGGTTCTATCTTCAGTTGGCTTCAAAACCCGTTACCATCTTGTATAAAGTTGAAAAAAATACGAAGTTGGTTTATTTCCGGTAACGTGTTTTGAACTGGACTGAACCAAGAACTGGTTCTGTGATTTTGTAACCAGATCTATGCCCACAGAAATGATGAGTGCCTAAAATCTAAGAAATTATTTATCGTGTTGCAGTCCCACCTGCATATTACGCTCATCTGGCTGCATACCGAGCACGATTCTATATGGAACCTGAAGTTCACCATGACAACGGATCCGTGCACAGCATGTGCATGGTTAAAGGTGCAGGTGTTCGTCCCCTTCCGGCATTGAAAGAGAAGGTAAAGAAGGTGATGTTTTATTGTTAGGTAGGCCTAGTTTGAAAATTTTAGGGTAGCATTAGATGAATATGTTGTACTGTTAGTTTTGTACAGAAATGAACATGCATTGAACATTTTTGCTACTGCAAATAGGTTTTCGTTTATGCTTTGATCTGTATTCTAGAAGATATTGAATACGGTCGTTATATGATGTCATATTATTGATATGATACAATATACCGACCGGATTTGTTATAATGGACGGTCACATTATCATTTGGGCTTGCATTTGATTCATTAGTTGTATCCATTAAATGTTTGTTTTAAGTTTTATGTGCTTCTTTTGGAAGATAATACATGTTTTTGATGCAATTGTTATGACCAACCCATTTCTTTCGTTACTTCTAATTTTTTTTGTTTTACATGTCTCATTTTCAAAAAAACATCTTCTCTACCACTTTAGAGGAAAGGTTTAAACCTATCTCTAGACCTTACTTGCGTGGGATTTACTAAGGAAACGTTTATTTTTTAAAAGGTATGAAGTTTGAAGTCTAATTTCATTTCATAGATAAGAGGTGATGCTGAAGTTTGAAATCTGAATCAATAAGACTGTTTGTTTTTGTAAACTGTTAAACGTCTTAAGTCTGAATCAGTAAGACTGTTTGTTTTTGTAAATTGACAAACGTCTTAAATCTGAATCAATAGTTTGTTTTTGTAAACTAACAAACGTCTGAATATGTATAATTGTCTATTTTATCCTTAAAAAATGTTATACTGTTGAATTTATAAAAACATCAAATTATTTCTAACATATTCAAAAATTTAATTGAAATACGTCAATTGATTCAAACACAATATAAAACATGAACAAAGTCCCGTAACAACTAAGATCAATATTCATTTTGTATTAATCATGTCACAATTTCTTTTTTAAACTAGCCATATATATTTGGTAAGCGGTATTTCCATGCGATTGAACCTCTTCAGCCTTATCCTTTCCATTGTCCCCTTGCTCATTGTTGTGATCATATTCAGAAAATAACCCATCACTTAGACTTTCCTTTCATATGAAGTTGTGAACCACAAAACATTCATGCAATAACAACGTCTCTTTGAACCTCAAGTTGAAAATGATACCATTCCTTTCAATATTCAAAAATGTGCTTTCGGAATACTATAAGCTCGTTCAATAACATTTCTAAGTTTTGTATGAGAATGATTAAACTTTTCATACTTGTTCATTGCATGTAGACGGCGGAAATCTCAAAGCCAATATCTAATATTACGATACGGTGTCATGAATCCTCGAGTATTCATATACGCAGGATCACATAGATAATTTTTATCTGAAAACAATAAATAAAATATTTATTAATATGAATATTGTAAATATATTACCTCTAAATCATATACCCGAATAAGGAAATGAATATCTAATAGCACCAACTGTTAAAGCTTCAAACATAACTCTAGAATCACGTGCAACCCATGCCCACCCAACAACAACAAAAGTAAAAACCATGTTGAATCATAAATTGCCAAAACATTTTGATAACATTCACCCTTTCCTCATCAGTTAACATTTGCACTTGACTTAACTAAATCACTTCTTATACCTTTTCTCTTTATTTCTATGGCAATTCAAGAACATACTGTAATTAGCCTTCCAACTTGAGAATATCACATTTGAGTTCTATAGTAATAGTGATATATTTTCTACAGTATAAGATCAATACCTTGGGTAGAAAACCATCATGGAATATGACATTTGAGTTTCATATCACATTTGTTGGGAAAACGTTAGGTTAAGTAGATAGGTTGAGAATGTGAATATCATTGGTAATTAGAATGCTTTAATTGTTAAAAACAAGCATTCGATATATTTGATTTACAACCATTATGCTTTTGAAATTTCTACATATATAAGCTTACTCATTTTTGTTTTGGTGAACCATATGAGCGATTTCATAAAGATGGGTCACAGTCTAGTACCAGTAACCCTCCCCCTGTTGAGGCATTTCTTTGAGAGCAGAGTGTCGGAGAACGGAAGAAGGGCCGCATTTTTGGTTTTGGGACCTCCCAGGATCCCTCTTATGCTATGACGGGTATATATAGCAGTAACAACGAGAGATCATACGATTCAATAGCGAAGGTATGTTGATTATATTGTTATATACTTTCTCATTAATTTCATTGCGAACAAATTACTGATTTTGTCGAATATTGAATATTTACAGGTAGCAGAGTTGAGAGAGAAGTTGGCAAAGGTAGAGGAGGAAGCGCGACTGTGGGAGGAACGCCATCAGGCTGATATGGAGGCTGAATGGAAGAGTAAGAAAATTTGGAGGCAGAACATGTCAGACACGCTGCTGGAAGCTGAACAAGTCGCCTTATCGAAGCATTTTGTTGCGTTTATATGACAGTCAAGATACGTTCCCTTCCCCCCCCCCACCTCCCGGTAGTTAGATTTTATGAATTTAAACATTAAATTGTACGAATTTGATATTTTAAATTGTATGAATTTGATATTTTAAATTGTATAAATATGTTAGTTTTAATTTGTTCACAGTTTTGGTTTGTTATTTTATGGCTAGGTTTTGTATAAGTAAATATAGGAATTATATAATTATAAATTATTTGTTTTAAATTAATAAAAATTAGCGACAGAATAACGAGGGAAAATCTGTCGCTAAAAGTCCCTTGTTAATCCGTCGCTGAAAAATTTCTCGTTGATCCTTCGCTGAAAGTTTCCCTTGCTGATCTGTTGCTGAAAGTTTCCCCTCGTTGATCCATCGCTGAAAGTTTCCCTCACTGGTCCGTCGATGAATTCCCTTGCTCATTTGTTGCTGATAGCATTACGTACGAGCTTTTGACTGATGGACGATCATCAACAGACCAACAATGAAAAAGGCCTTTAACATGGATCAACGAAGGATTTTTTCCTCGCTGATACTCTTCATTTTTTTAATGAGGGTAAGAACATTCAACGTATTTATTCATACATTCAAGATCATCCTCGACATCTCTATTAAAACCTCGATCATCAGGTTCTACAACGTCATTCAAGCACACACGTTCTTCAGTGAACAAACGTTTTCAATATCATCAAGCACATCACTGACGTAATACTCGTTCATGATTTACGTCACATGATTTCACTAGATTACAAGAAATATAAAACCATCTCCAAGAAATAACTTTCATGATTTTCACAATAAAAAAAAGCAAGTATCGAGCTTCAATAACTAACAAGAATAGCATCAATAAAACCATGATGGAAATCCCTACAAAATCGCTACATAAAATGGATAACGAAAAAAAATTTAAAAGCTTTTCGGTGACAAATGACAATAATGCCCTTCCGGAAATAAATATGTACAAAAGAAAAAGAATTGCTTAAATCTAATCGGTGGAAAATAGTTTGTAGAGTTTGTTAGAATAGACAGGTTTGTAATTGAAATCCACCTCTCTCTCTCTCTCTCTCTCTCTCTATATATATATATATATATATATGGTTTGGCTCTAGTGAGAAGCGTAGATGTACATTAGGATGAAATGAACCAAGATAAGATGCATCAAAATGCATTGGATAAATCTCTACATCAAATACGATTCATGGGCGAGTTTGAGATTAAAGGTCATCAAGGGTCCAAATCCTTCTCACGTTTTTCACCTTAATCCTCCTTCTCACACGATCTTTTACCGATATGTGTATGTGTAGAGGAAGTTTTAAAAATATATTTTTATATGTGTGTATGGATGGAAGAAGTTTCAAATACAAAACATTAGCTTTTAAGGTCAGTGACTTTTCAGCATAACCTGGATTAAATCATATGGATAAAATTTGGAATTAACTCTTCCATTTCGTAAAATTGTATGAAATAGTGATCTAGTTTCATAAAATTTCTTATTATAGCATTTGATTTTTAATTTTTTTTATTACTTTCAAATTATTTTTTTATTAGAGCATTATACTTTGAAAGTTTTACCTGTTATAGCATTGAGTAACTTTTTGATATAAATTTACCCATTATACCAGGTTTCAGTGACACCTCACTATCCACATAGCTGCCACATGACATGAGTTTCTTATCACAATATTGAACTTTTAAAGTTATTTTATTAAAACATCATTAGTTCCTATTACAACATTGCACTTCTTGATTTAATATTTTATTATTTAGACATTGTATATATAATCGAACATGTTTACCTAAATTTAATATCCATTTCTGATCCTAAATTTTAATTACAAATTTAGTGTCCCAAAATAGAGATTATAACAATTAGTAACCTTTTGATTTGAATTAAGAAGACATGACACAAGTTATTAGGTTTCAATGTCATATCATTGTCCAAACGGGGATGTTTGTGTAAATTTTGTTGACATGACATTTCTTGTTACAATATTATACTTTAAAATAATTGATTTTACATATTATTTAAGTTGCTATTTTGTCCATTTAACCCTTTAATTTATGAAAGTAAGTTGTTATTTTGTCCGTTTAACCCTTTTAATTTAAATATAAATTTGATTTAATAAGTTTATGAATAACATCTTTTTAATATGATTACCGCAACTTATAGAAGCTTTTGCTAATTTATTTGCTATGCATGCTAAGGGGCCGTTTACCAAACATTTACTCAGTAAGCGTTTACCGGTAAATTTAACACTATTAATTACTTAACGGATAAGATTTTAGTTCACCAAAACGATATCGTATGCAACAATATACTCAATAAGCGCTTATCGGTAAATATAACACCATCAATTACATACCGGATAAGATTTTAGTACACCAAAACGGTATCGTATGCAACAATTTACTCGGTGAGCGCTTACCGTGGTAAGAGTCGTCGCCTTCACTTACCGGGTAAGACTACTGGTCCTTGTCTCGCTCTTACCGGTAAGATTCTTGATTCTTGCCATATTCATCCAGTAAGGTAAAATGACTTCATGTTCACTTACCCGATTAAACGTTTGGTAAACGACCCTTAAAAAAGTTCTAATAGGTGTGTTAATAACTGCCAAGCTGACCCTTGTGGTACGCCATGTGTCGACGTAATTTGATTTTTTTATCTTTTACTTTCTTCAATTTTCGTAAGACAAAATTTTATGATTTTTTCTTTTCATTTGACTTTTCCATATATATATATATATATA